CTGACGCGTCTGCCTCCGCGACCCGAAAGGAGAAGCGGCGATGGAAGATGAAGATGAAGAAGAAGATGAATAAAAAATAATTGAGTTTAAAAATAAACGTAGCATCATGTGAAAGAGACGCTTCTGGTTTTTTGATCCTTTGCATGGAGTGCAAATGTATTATTCATTCATTCGTAAATTAACGTTACGTTATACTATCATTATGCTGTCACCTATGATGATTTACACGGACGAACTGTGACAATGGCACTCTCCTCTCTCGATTTGCATGAGCTCTGATGATCACTTCTGAGATTCTTTTGACCTTTTACTCGTTCAAACAATCTTTCGCACATACTTCGAAACCAATCACTCAGATTTCTTACCTTACTCAATGCACAATGATGAGTTTAAGCGAATGGTAACATCGAAAATTTCAGGAAAGTATGGTGTCGAACTTCGCATTAGCAAAACAGAATTTTTTACACCGTTCAATGATCGTGCAATTCATTAAAATTGCCTTCAGTCACGCACAGGACTACTATATGCAACTGTGCGACCAATTTTCAGTTGAACTTGACCAACGGTCAGTCGTTGCTTAAGCTGAAGAACACCGTATGTTCATCCGGTCCCATTTCTATATCTGCAAAACATCTGTGCGAATAAAACCATGCTAGAACATATGATGCATGATATTTCATGTCCGCTCTTCCACCCTTATTGGGGTTGTCTGGTCATGGCTATGGTTATTAAAGAAATAAGTAGAGTATATATTTCTAGCCCTTCTTCATCTGCATGGTACAGCGTACAAAAGCAGATGGATTCACTCAGCCTTTGTGCGATATAATAGTATTGCTGACCGATTAAACATCCGCCATTAATCCTGGGCAGGAGATCATGAAGATACCAATAAGGCATATCAATATACAGAAAACCGTAGATCTTTCTTAGTTTTTTCAAAAGCAACATAACGATGAAAAAGTTTTGCCTGAAATATTGACACATGGCTAATTCCTGCTGTGAGTTAGAGTTTCCTACCTTCTCAGTCTCAATCAAGTCCCATCCTTTTTACTGTGTGGAAATATTAAAAGTAAAACTTGTCCATCGCCTACTCATGTCTTCTACAACGTCAAGCGTCTTTGAATAGTTACCAAGATAATATAATGCTTACGATAAGCCCTCCTGTGCCATCCAACCCTCATTTAGAGGATCTAGCTAAAGCCCTTGAAGATAAGAGGAGGAATCAGTAATGTGTATTTTCTAGAATTTTTTACTCGCTAGGCATAGTGAAATCGGCAACATAACGAGGTGGATAAGCGGCCGACGTTGTTAAGATAAATTATGCATTATTGTTGACTGATTCATGATTCGAAATCAGTCCAAGTCAAGAATCCTTGAAGATACCAATAAAATATATCAGCATATAGAATATCGCAAACTGCTCAGTCTTTGGTGAAAAGAACCATGCAATTCATACGATATTTCGTATTCTGCTATGTCACTCTCATGAACAAATGACAGCAACGAAGAACCACTCCAGAACGAGTCACTATTATGTTGAATCGAGGTATTTTCAAAATCCACAGTATGCTTTATCATCGGATGCTTAATCCACAGAGCAAAAAGATCCGGCTTTTGGACACAAATAGGCAGTAGTTGTCGAATCTCCATGAACTGTTCGCTATTGCTTAATCGCTGCTAATTTTACTCATTTATTGTTGTGAAAATCATACTTTAATATATGTTATGCCTACGTAGGTTCAGTCGTATAAATGTGTCAATTTGTGTTGAAACTCTTGAAGTCAACTTAACTGGTAGAATTCGCTCTTCGTCTACGGCTTAGGCTATGAGAAAAATCAGTGGATCATCATGTCTTGTCTCACTCCGCGATGAACACCGTGAACGGAAGTAAGCAGATGCACTACGTCGTTGTATGATACGATTGAACATCTGCAAGTACTCCTTGGCAACAGTACTGGAAGGTACTATTCTGGTACAAGAGCGTACAGAAGAAAGGAAGTTAAAAACTAATCAAACTTTAGGCAGTCACTAGTACAGATTGAGGGCAGTTCATTTTGACTCGAATCGCTACAACTGTTGCAACGTGACAGTGCGGTGAATCGGTTAGTTTCTTGTATAAAGACGATATTTCGTTATTTACTCAACAAGAGATACGAATGTAAATTACGGACAAGGGTGAATTAATTATCGGCCAATATTCGTCCTCATTCGGCATCTGCCGCGAAAGCCAACCGAGAGCACGAAGGCCCATCCTGAATCGTGTCGGTCAACAACCGCATTTCATTAGCTCTTCTGAACGAGGAGCACGTACCGACGAAGAGTGAATCATGGAATGGTTCTGCTTGAGATGAAACAAAAACCACTTCGCAAAACGCTAGTGCTCCCAAAATGAAAAGAAACACGTACCATAGAGAGACAGGCAGGGATCCGGGCTCGATGTGTTCGATTCGATTGTTATTCAGCGTCAGCAGTTGCAACGGTAAGTGCGAAAAGGCTCCGGAGGGGATCATCTGCAGCTGATTGTAGTCCAGATACAGGAAACGGAGGTTGATCAGTCGGTCAGCCTACAAATACCTGATGGACATGAAACAGAGAGCTGGTGCCCGGCGTCGTCAGCTACTCACTTGGAAGGCATGCGGCTCGACGGTGTCTAGGCGGTTGTAGCGCAGGTGGAGATGCTGCAGTTGGCGCAGCTCGGCTATCTGTTTGACAGGGATACGCGAGAGGGAGTTGTGGTTGAGTAACAGTTGGTAGAGGCAGTCCTCGAGACCTCGGAAAGCGTTGAAGTTGATCGAGTCGATCTGATTGTAGCTCAGGTCCAGCAGCCGGATGTCATGGCCGTCGAACGCGTCGTAACTGAGAAATACCAGGCTGCCGTGAACGATGCTCAGCGAGTTGATCTGATACTGGGAAAACACACCGGTCGGAAGCGACGGTACCGTCATCCACGATTTATACTGACACAGCACCTCTATGGCGTTCACCGTCAATCGTTGGCACTCACAGGAGCGCCATTTAGACTCAGGGTCATAGTCGAAGTTGCAACCCTCGACATCGCCGGCTCGGTATATCGGATTACTCACTAACAATATAACCACTGGCCATATGGCGGTCAGCGAGAACCACCGTTCTCGACGCAGGTTTCCCATGACTAGCCTATCCTC